GGGGGTTATCCACGACTTGTAATGAGATGAGACGTTTGTTTTTGCTCCTTTAATCTTTGGCGTGACCTTTGACCCCTGAAAGCGGCGGCCATAGCCGAAGAGCAGCCGGAAAACGCAGCGTTTCAGACGCTTTCTGTCACGTTTCAGAGGTCAGGACGGGACATGGTGGGGGGGGGCAGGGGGGGGGGGGGGGGGCAGGGATGGGTGGGTTATGGTTTTCGTGTGCAGGTTCCAGGTCACTGAACTGTTTACCTGCTCTGATTAGCGGATCAGAGGTAAAGGTGATTAGCAGGGCGTGGGGGCTATTTCCAGCCGGTTTGTCCCTGACGGGGGGGGGGTGGGGGTTGGGTGGAGTATTCACGTCTCGGCTTATGGATGGATTACCCCCCCCCCTCCCCCCAGAGTCAAGGGGGGGGCAAATGAGTCCTCTAACCTGTCTTAGATATAAACATGTTGCATTATGAGTGCAAATCGACTCCTTTTCTGACCAATTTCTGATTTAAAAAGAACTTTAAAGGCCACAAACGTGGCGATAGAGGAGTGGGAGAGTGAGGGAAACCAAAGGGAGAGTTCACCCCCCCTCAAAGCCCGGGGGGGGGGGGGGGGGCACATGAGTCCTCCAAACCGCCTTAGTAGCGTTATGCATCCAAATTGACTAGTTTTTTGACCAATTTCTGATTTAAAAACTAATTTAAAGGCCACAAACGTGTGGATAGAGGAGTGTTTGGCTCAGAGGGACACTGGAGGCAGAGTGTGAGCGCCCCCTGCTGGCTGGAGGTTGGACTGGCAGCTGGGAAGGTCCCACTTTTTACACATTTAAAAAGCACCTTAAACTGTTTCTCAAAAGTTCCCAGTTATACAATCACTAATTTTAATTTTGTAATGTCATCGTCTGAACGTGTGTCTCTCTGTTTTAACTGATATTGTATTATGTGATTTTGTGTTGTTTTGTCTTCCTGACAGATGCGAATTAGCAACTATGCTAGAATCTGGCTCATTTACAATCTGTATGAGATTGTTCTTTAACTCATTGACTGGCAGCCATTTTCAGAACAGAGAGTCCCATACTGCCAGAGTTTTTGGAGCATTTTGACAGATTTTTCAAGAGCCACAGAATAGTTTGTGCTATGACTATGTAAACACCGAACACACCAAAAGAAAGAGTAGACTCTCTTCTTTCATCAGGAAATTTTTTCTACCTTATTCCATTCTTCCTCGACTTGCGTCTCACCGGCGACATGTTCTCTCATAGAACCGTTCCCTTTTTCTTATTTGCCTACAGTCTATGCTCATCTCCCATCAAAAGTGGCACTGCCCCCTAGAGGGTCAATTTGTTACTACATACTCTGTCTAGAAGCCGATATTTACGGACAAGCTTTAGCAGATCGTCCCCCAGCCACTCTCGTTGAAAAACATAAAAGACGTCTATAGACGTCTTTAGCAGCCAATGAGTTAATGTGCACTGTCCTGATTAAATAAATAAATAAATAAATAAAAATGCCTGTCCTGTCCCCCCCCCCAGCCATGCCGGCCTCCCGGGACACGCCCAGCCCCATCGACCCCGAGTCCATCCAGGTGCCGGTGACCTACGACCCTGACCCGGCCGACCTGGCCCTGTCCAGCGTTCCCGGCCAGGAGATGTTCGACCCGCGCAAGCGCAAGTTCTCCGCCGAGGAGCTGAAGCCGCAGCCCATGATCAAGAAGGCCCGCAAGGTCTTCATCCCCGAGGACCTGAAGGTGAGCCTGAGAGGGTCTAAAGATAAAGAAAAAAGGTTCTTAATTGGATTTGAGAACGAAAAACTGACTGATTGGCTTCGTTAAACAACGTGTGGAGTCCTGAAAAATGGCGTTCCAGCTTTATTTTATTATTTACTTGTTTAATATTATTATTTTATTATTATTATTTATTATCATTATTTATTATTATTATCATTATTATTATTTATTATTATTATTATTTACTTATTATTAAATAATACATTATATTTATTATTAAATTATTATTTTATTTATTTTTATTTTTAAATTTCTAGAAGGGACCATAGAAACAATATAAAGTGACCAAAGAAATCCAAATATCGGATTTAGACAAGCCTAATGTGTGGTGTTTACATCTTTATTTAAAGTCCACAGGACTCATATTCCTAATA